CTCATAATTTTTTGTATATTTTTTGTATACTTTTGTGTACAAATCGTCACTGCTCTTACTTAATATGTCATTAATTTAACTAATATAGTTAAACAATTCAAGAAATATATTAAATTTGACAAAAATTTACTTTATCATTTACTAAGTGCAAAGGTTAATATGAATACTGTTTATTTCAAAATAATTCAAAGCAATTCCATATAAATGAGTTAATTAGATGCGATTATTTTTTTTTAATCAGACGTTTTAAAATAATACATTTTAACATCCTTGGAAGTTAAAAGCATTAATATATCATTCGATTTAAGGAATTGTTTTATACATTTGATTTTTTAATATTCATTACATAATTCTAAATAATCTAAATGCTTTAGTCTGTTTGTGTTTTATTATTTGTGTTTTATTATTTTAATTTGAGAAAATTTAAAGAGGAAGTATCCTCGATGGAGGATAATTTTATACAAGGCAGGAAGGAAAAGCGCGAGCTCTTTAGAATCCTCATCCTTCGCGAAATACCGTCGTTTCTGTACTTATATCGTGCGAATATCCTTATTTTGCGGAAAGAGCGAAAGCTCTTAGCGAACTTTCGACCGAAAACCTTCAGCCGCCTTCAGTCACAATAGACGATCTCTCTTTGCCGTGGACATTATTTTCTTTTTCCCGAACGAATAGGGCATCTCCCGGAGAACGGTTTTATCGTTGGACGGTCCAGTTTCTATCGCAAATTATGAGATAGTACTCGGTCTATATCCAACAATCGTATATATATCGTCGATAATTGTACAATTGCTTGCACATACGAGTGGCGGAATCGTGGCCGTAAACTAACATACCTACGTTTTCTCTGTAAGGCCGAGTTATGCGGGCGCGATGAGGAATGATTACGCGAAGAATGATTGCCACGATGCACCACGAAACGTAAATTTCGAGATATTGACGTTTCGGTTATTCACCTCGATTCAACGGACACAACGATTTCTGGTGCTTTTATTTTGTCAGTTCAGTTTGACAGCCCGCATCGAAATTCAGTTAAATAATTAACGAGCAAAGTGAAATTTGTGTTTGATCTGCGTGCGTTGCATATTTTTTGTTTATTGGAAAAACTGATGGTAATAGAATAATAGATAAATTTTGCAAAACTGGTTATTAACTTGTTAATAATGCATTTAAGGATTCTAATTTATGTGAATTGTCTTTATGAATATTAATGCGATTTTAAATATTTTGCGAGAGAGAGAGAGAGAGAGAGAGAGAGAGAGAGAGAGAGAGAGAGAGAGATCACATTAAATTTGATTATGATACTTTAATTATTAGAAATATTTTATCAATAGCACACGTATTCACGTACACGAGCAAAAGTTACGAGATTTAATTATATAATTAATGAACTTATACGATCGCATTACGTTGCGTTACAGCGCCCTACGAGGGTGGAATATGGAAGGTGAGGGTTCATCTGCCGGAGCACTACCCTTTCAAATCACCTTCGATCGGTTTCATGAACAAGGTCTACCATCCCAACATTGACGAAGTCTCGGGTACGGTGTGTCTAGACGTTATAAACCAAGCTTGGACTGCCCTTTACGGTATGTATTCATTTAACCATGTAAAACTGTAATCTAGACTGTAAATAGCGCACGAGTACCCGCGCAATTTTCATTTAGTCGTCTTAACCTTTTCATTACAAGTAACTTAATTTAGACTTCGCTTTGAGAATTACAACGTGAAAGTTGCATGCTTTCCAGTCGTATATGTATATAGTATATATTTTGTATTTATTACGAGTCAGACTTTGTCGAGCAACGAGTTGAGAAACAACATTTAACTCTAATTGATAATTGGCTCCGAAATTTTCTTAATTGGTATTCGTATGGTAAACTAAATTAATGCAGTTTTGCTTAAAGTTAATTAACGTAATCCATAATTAATCCGTAATTAATTTTTCATTTTGAAAGTCAAAATCCGAGGAACCGGATTATATAATTTAAAGTTATGTAAGGTTGTGAGAAATATTTATTGTAAACAATTTTTAACAATTTGGTGCGTAATTGAAAAATATGTCCGTGTTTACTGGGATCCGCAAATGCTAATTAGAGTTAATATCTGTCGAAAGAGAGAAAAAGTGAAGAGACTATGAACGATTATTAACAACATTTTTGCATTATTTGATTTGTTTCAGACTTGTCAAATATTTTCGAGTCTTTCCTGCCTCAGTTGTTAACATATCCCAATCCAATCGATCCCTTGAACGGCGATGCTGCCGCGATGTATCTTCACAAACCCGAAGAGTACAAGAAGAAAGTGGCGGGTGAGTATGTTACAGACTTAATAAGTAGTAGTATTTCCTTTAAACAAGACAGTTGGAACGAAGACGGTGGATCATTACAAGATTTTTATGATCAGCCGTCAATCGATCCGTGTCTCTCTCTCTTAAAATAAAACTTCCCCTGTGTAGTTGCTTCCGTTCCGCGTGTGTGTTCCGCCCGCTCGAAACATCATTACCATCGCAATGTAATTTCCCGTTTCTGATTTCTCGGCAGATTACGTGAGGAAGTACGCGACGGAGGAGGCGCTGAGGGACCAGGAGAACGGCGGCACCGGCAACGGGATGTCCTCCGACAGCGAGTCGTCGATGAGCGACTTCAGCGAGGACGAGGCGCAGGACATGGAGTTGTAACCAAATATATTACCATCCGCGCGTACCCATATCCTTAATCATCTCGATTCCCTGTAAGATCCCCGATCGCTCGTCCTACTACCAAATAGATGCTTACACCCGAGACTCCGAGTCTCACTTCTGGTGACGGCGACGAGATCCCTTTTACTACTCGTCGCTGCTCTCGTCGCTCGTTGCTCATCGCTCGTACATATACCGAGGGGTTGGTGATTGACCATCCCCGGCACGACGAGAGTGAAAGTGACGGAGACGAACGAGGTAAAAACGGAGAATCGCGCTCTTCTCATCGAGCGCATCTCAAGGGGCGTTTTCTATCACGACAGCGATGTCTCTCACGGTCATCCAAGCTCTTGCTTGAGTTAATCCGTTAATTATTCGCTGCGTTTAATTGTCATATTCATAAATTATGACAACGACGATGATGATGATTATAACGTGCACATCAACGAACGAGACGTTGGCTCAAATGAAACTCGCAATCTTTGTAAACGTCTCGAGAGTCGATGCTCTTATTTTTCAGTGTGAAGAAGAGAAAAAGGAAGGGTATGAAACGAAAAGACAGAGAGGACCATCGTTGGTATTTACGGGTTATTCATTTATCGACACAATCGATTTTTGGCCGGTGCTTCTACTGCGTGTGTATATATATATATATATAT